TATTGGACATCCCCACTACATTTGTTGAAGGGTGCCTCTAGCAGACTTGCATAGCTGCATGTGTTGCTCTCGTATATGGCAGGGTAACGTATTTAAACGTACGGAATTGGGGTATGCTACATGTCTGTAATCGCCTCCAAGCAACAGACTCTGCTTTATGGAGTTTAGCTTGAGGTAGTGAATAAATGCTCCTCTACATTTGATAGTGTTCGGTTATTTCTATAAATGTGGTTAGTCGATTTTTTTTCTCTTATCTTCTCTTCCACGTTTCCCTGACAGATAGACGTCACTACTTGTTCAGCTCGGCGATTAAGACCTCGAGCCTCGCAGTGTGCTACCTCATTGGGGTTTACTTCAAGGATGTGTGGAGTTGTATGCGCTAAGAACCAGAGCAGTTACCTGTCAATCTTCTTTACAGTGGAGAACGTCGCTTCGTTTACACTCCCGTTGTTTCAGGCCTCCAGGGAGATCTGGCCTTTATATGGAAGCTTGTGATGAAAAAAAAAAGCGCAAACAGGGTTTGTGTGCTCGAGCTGGCGTTTCGACAAGTGGACTTAACAAGTCTTCCTGGATTCACGCGGACACTCGAAGAGAGACAGACAGGGGAAAAACATAATCGCAAAGGCTGTCGGGGCATGCATGCTTGAATTTGGGAGGTGCGCAAGAAAAACTGGAAAGGGTTTCCACAATTATCTAAACTAAAACTTTTTCTGAGTTACTGAGTCACATGGCATTGATTGCTTTCAAGCTGATTTTATTGGGGCTAGTCTGCGTGGCAGTGCAGAATCGCTGCGAAGTGGAGTATGGCGCGAATATTCGGCTTGTGGTCTTCGTCACAAAGAAGTTTCGCAAAACGCAAGTTCATAACCTGGCCTTCCCTTCAACGTTTTAAAAATAAATGCAGCAGGTGGCGGGACGTGTCGGAGGAAACTGAAAAAAGCCCCACATCGCCAAATTGTGTCGTTTGTGATTAGGCCATGTCTCGCTCACCCACAGCGCGTGAATGAGTGAGATTGCACGGTTGATTAGCTGCTAAATGTTCGGCTTATTAGTGTCTTTGTCGAAATAAACTCGCAAGTCGCCGAATAAAACTTATAGTGGGGTTGGAATTGTGATGAGGAATTTAATAATCCGAACGAAAGGCTTTTGGTGAGATCAAGGACGAGGCGTCCATGAAGCTCTCGTGCGTGACCCAGTCGAGGCCGGAATGCAGCCGAGTCGGGAGAACAAAGGTTCATCGCCGAAAGTAGCAGACGTGCCCGCCGTGGTGCTTCGCAAATCAGGTCTCGGAGGCAAAGCCGTTCTCCCAGGAAGAGGCGGCTGCCCAGGCAACGGGGCAGATTGACGTTCCCGTGGGAGCCCTGCTCCGGTGTTTGTGCGAAGCGGGTGGCCTGCAGATGCGTGCAGTGGTGCGCCGCCGGCGTGAACCAATTTCTCGATAAGCTGCGCGCATGTTGCAGCTGCAACCGAAGCAGACGACGCAGCGAGCTCGGAAACCATAAAGGGGCTCTACAAAACGCTTTGAGCATCGTCAGAAAACGCTGCCGGCATGTAGTAGACGCTCCCGAAAACACGCGAGCCAAATAATCGAGCGCAGCATGTGTCCTAGAATTCCTAATAAATTATCAAAGTCAGCTAAAAATTTCTTTCTCTTCTCTAGAGAAATGGCCGAAGACGCTTCAAAATCACTCGTAGGAAGTCATATATCAGCCGTTGGCCGATTCGAACATGGCGCGCTCGGTCGCTAAAGAGATCGTCGAAAAAAGCCACGACTTGTGCAAGTGCGCGCGCGCGCACGGGATCACACTGAGGAAGCCGCGCATTCGAAGAAAAGAAAAAAAAGTGCTCAAGGTCACGAGGCGCGCGTGATGTCTTTTTTCGCTCGTGCCATCCTTCCCTGCTTAGCTTCCAGTGCTATCGTCGAGACGAGAGAAGAGGAAATGAAATTGCAGCATGCGATAAAATTTTGCAACTCCACTCGCACTGCACAAATTCTTAAAATTTTTGTGGCGTTGAATTCGTAAGACAATAACTCTTTCAGTGAAATAATTCCATGGTTATTTTAAAAAAAAAGTTTCAGGGCCCTTTTAAGCGTCGAAATCTGTACTCTCCAGATTGTTATGTCGCGGCCGAATCGGCACTGCAGGCACCTGACACTCCGCGTTTAGATAGGCCGCCAATGAAGGCTCTTCGTGTAAAGAGTCTGAGGTGTTGTATCACGCAAAAAGATTATTCAGTCAGGTTTGATCGCGCAGCGATACCCATTATCTAAAGAGAGTGATAGAAAGTGGAAAGTGAAAAACCCGCGATTAAGCAATGGTATCAAAGCGCCGACTTGCCCAAGAAGTTCTTTAGGAGGTACATTTAGTCAGATCGCCAAATGTGTTAACAAACATTAATATGCTCGTCTAGGCAACGTATGTCGTGCAACTGGCCGATGATCGGCCGCTGACACCGCCATACGCTTTCACTGTTCGTTAAGATTGGATATACTCACTGTCAAGCAATGCTCCTCTACTTCGTTTCACTAATAAGGGGCAGTGCTCTGGAGGGAGACTTCTTGCGTTAGGTGTGTTCCCAGCAAAAAAAAAAAACAAAAAAAAAACAGTCCCATTATTTCGAACCCCTAAATTTAATTTTTTGGCTGCTTTGTGCTGAGTATTAAGTGATTGATTTGTGGGGTTTAACGTCCCAAAAGAGTAATAAGTGAGGGCACTTTGTTCGGCAGATACAAAGAAACAACAAGAAAACGTTTTACTGTTGTCGGTGAGTTGTTCTCGACGGCTTGGCATTTCTTTGTTCTCGAGTTTCGGTGTTTCGTCCGTCGCGACGCATACGCGCCGGCTCTGCTGGCACGAGCGTTTACGACGAAGCAAGCCGTCTTGCGCACCGAGCTTTTTGCATAGCTTTCACAGCTTTGCATTTGATGTATGAAATGTTGTATTGCTGTGGGTACGCCGACAACGTATACTTGTGCTTGTATGCACCATTCGCGATGAGTGACTTGATATTTTCGGTACTAAACGGTGATTGGTAAGTAACACACAGGATACAATTAATTGTCGCGTCAAACGTTTTCATAAATTGGCGTTTTTCGGTGAATCTTCCGCAGTGGTGGTTGTGGTGCTCGGTCATATTGATCCGAATGTCGCGACTTCGATCCCGGCGCTTGCATTTTGGTGGAGGCTAAGTGCGAGGGGATCGCGTACTGTGTCATATAAGTGTACGACCGGATGGTTGAGTGTTCGGAAACCTCCACTATGCCATTTCGCCTAATTACATCGGGTGTTAGGGTGTAAATAGGGTGTACTAATATTCAATATCACCGGTTTTTGAAGACCATAAGTGAAGAAGTTATCAAAAAGCAAAGATGTTTGTATGATCAGCCATTACGTAAACTCCTCAGCCGCAACGAAGCTTTACGTTTATCATGGTGGTTCTACATTTCTGAACTTTAATTAGGAAGTGAGAAGGTTAAACATGTCAGAACCCCCATAAGATTACAAGATATGCTCGTAGATATGCTCGTAAGATTACAAGAGACGCCCTAATGGAGCGTTCGGAAAAGTTCCACCTCCAGAGTTTCCTTCGCGCGTACCTAAATATATCTACATGGTCCTCAAGCATTTTCGCCTCAGACGAAAATGCAGCCACTGCGGCCGAGATTCCATCCCGCGAGTGAGCAGCCGAGTACCGTAACCAATAGACAACCGTGGCTTTTAGCTCGTGCAGTAGCGCGTGCATGCGTGAGCAGGAAGGGTAACCACAAGGTATCCAGCGTAGTTAATGTGTTCGGACAAGCAGAAACCACCCGCAGAAAGCGCGCACGTTGATTTAGAGGGTGCGCAGCAGTTTTCCCTGCAGTGCACGAAACTGGCTGCCGAGGCGCGAGCGCTGTCTGCCTTCGAGTGGTGACTCGAGAGGGGCACTGGCAGAGAACTTGAGCTTGTAAATTGTGTCGCGGTTCGTCTCATGTAGTGGCGCGGTTTGTCTCCCTTAACAAATGTTGTCGCTTGCAGGTGCAAGGTGGCGCCACGAAACAAACCTTCCGGGAATGTTCTATCGGGATTGTGTCCTACACGACAGTTTTCCTCCTGCATTTAAACCGAGTGCACCTGTTCTTTTAAAGACGTTCTTCGCGAAGCTGTCTTCGCTTTTTGTACAATCATTGCGCCTGTGCTTCATGTTGATTAAGCGTGTAGATTTATTCGATCTAAAAGTGCGGTGTATTTTCATCGATTCGCGTACAACCGCAGTGCTACTTCATTCAGAACGTGAGATTTCGTGCTGCCCCATAGCGGTGGTGTAGTGCCTAATGCACTCGGCTGCTGACCCGCAGGTTGCGGGATCCAATTCCGGCTGCGGTGGCTGCATTTTCGTTGGAAGCGGAAATGTTGTAGGCTCATGTGCTCAGATTTGGGTGCACGTTAAAGAATTCCAGGTGGTTGAAATTTCCGAAGCCCTCCTCCATACGGCGTCCCTCATAATCATGTGGTGGTTTTGGAACGTTAAACCCCACATATCAATCAAGGTTTCGTGCTGCGATGCTTGAAGCTGTCGATGTAGCTTCCGCCAACGTCGGCAGCACTGCTGTGAAGGTGAAATCGGAAGAACATTGATGCGCTCACATTCAAGTGCAGAACCCCAGATAAAGAAGTCTCCCGCCATTGCGCGCATGTATCGTGTTTTGGCTTTGAAGAACGAAAACCGAAGTGATACTGGAAGAAGGACGCTCAACTAAGTAGTAGAGATGTAAACGTGACCCATCGACAATGATTGTGCATGCGCTGGAACCAGTGTGCCTCTTACGAAATGTGCTGACTGAAAGCACAAAAGAATGAAAAATTTTACGCGTTTTTTTTTCTCTTCAAAGCCAAAGCATGTTTCAGCAACTAACCCGCGCTCCTACGGCATACATCTATATTTATCATGGTTGTTACTCGTGTGCTTGGCGAATTCGTTGTTCGTGCGGCTGACCACGTCCTTGGTTCTCTGTGCAGTCGACGGTGGAGATCAGCAGCAACCTGCTGGAAGACTACCAGCGCGACTCGTGGCTCGAGCTGCCCCCGCGTGAGCGCCGCCACGTGGCCGGTGCCTTGCTGCAGGCGCTGGACAACTCCACTTGGCTGCTGGCCGCCACCAAAAACGCCGCATTTCGATTCTCCCGAGCACACGGCAACGTCCGTGAGTCTCGTTTCCATACCTTGCACATCAGCGGAAACATAACGAGGAAAAAAAATGTCTTTGGGCTCTGTTCGGGAGTTATGGCTTGTCATGACTCTCCTCTTGAAAAAGGAGCGTTTAACTCCCTTGTGGGACACACGACTCTCAGACCCCCCGAAAGAAGTTGAGGTGTCTTCTGAGAGTCACGTGTAGTGGCAAGCCAACGCTCTCACAATAGCGGTCATGGGCTTGTTTTGTGTGTGTGTGTGTGTGTGTGTGTGTATGTGTGTGTCTGTCTGTCTGTCTGTCTGTCTGTCAGTCTGTCTGTCTGTCTGTCTGTCTGTCTGTCTGTCTGTCTGTCTGTCTGTATGTCTCTATTAACACAATTTTAGGGGCGAGATGGCTTGTGATATATACAGTGAACGACGAATACAGCCGGCATTATGTGTAATGGTTGTGTTCTCCTGCTGAGTGGCATCCTAGACCATAGAGTTTCTCACAAACACTTAGAGAAAAAAGTGTGGCGTCACCGTCTATGTGAATTTCGTAAGGGGTGATGTTGGAGCGCTGGGAATGATGGTATATGTGTCTGCGAGGCTTGTGTTGGCTGGTGTTGAGGGAGGCTTCGGCTCAAAAGCGCATACAACTACGTAAATAAAGCTTATCTAAAACAAAGCTTTTATAAGAAGATCTCGTTCACGCATATTGTATTCTAAAATAAAAGTCCACTCACCTTGACGACACAACCAAACGGCAAAGAAAAGAAACAGATGACATAAATGTAGCGAGAAAAACGCTCGCTTTGTCGTCTGCCTGTCAAGTTTAGCGGCCGTTGGTTACTTCTTACGCTTCGTAAAAAAGTGCATAAACGTAGAAGGTTCTAGTGCTAAATAAAACACGTTTTAGTGCAATGACAGAAATAAATAGCTTGTTACGTGCTCTTTGAGTAAGAAATCAATTCTTTTACCGTGAGGCCAGACGCGTCTTCGAGGTATACAAATCCGAGTCAAGTTCGAAGCTCACGTATCCCGTCATTCGCTTGCATCCAGCAGCTCACTAGCGCCAGATGTCCCTCTAGGTATGATTGAGCGAAACTCCATGTATTAGATGGTCTACGTTGACAGCTTAATAGACAACACCGAGCCGCAGTACTCCAACAAATGTAACGCGTCTAGACGGCGTCCGCGCCACATGCGTCAAAAAGAGAAAAGCCTGGAAAAACAAATGTATGAATTATTATTGCGATATCAATTATATGGACAGTCTCGGCGGGTTTTTTGCCGCCACCCTCGTCATTCACGTATATGTACTTGTATGTATTGTAAAACATAGGGAGTTGCTGATGGCATCCCGCCGACATTCGCATAGATGATTCAGCACATGATGCCACACAAGATTCCGCCCATGAGGCAGCTCAAGATTCAGCCCTATCTACAAAAAAGCTCCCGCTTTTATAGCCCGCCGTGACCGCCGTCCGAAGAAGCGGCGATCACTCTTGCCACAAAGCAGGGAACGGAGTCTTTGTGGTCCACCCACCATATCGAACCACTCGGCTGGGTGAAACGGTCCACAGTAACAGGACGTGCTATTGGCGTCAAATGAAACCTGAACAGCGGAGCGCGTGTTTCAAGCATTAAAACAGTATAGTATTAGCCGTCCAGACATCACCATTGACAGGCGTGCACATCCGGTTTGGCCGCACTGCGCGATCCACCTAGAGTGCGTTATCTCCGTTTCTGCTCTAGTTCTCGTAAGGTGACAATGCTGGAAATCGTGGGCGTGCCGAGCGCTTCTGATCTTATCACTGGCAGTTCCTTGCTTTTACTACAGCATCGCAGTGCAATGGGTGTCTTGGCACGTTAAACGAAAAGAGAAATAGAATCGGTTTGTGGTTGATTTTCAAACGATTGTCGGATCTCGTTCGCCAGCGCTGCTTCACCTACACCCTTCTTTCAGAGAATGACCCGAAAAGACTTCATTTTAACTGGAAATCTCGAGTGTTTCTTCGGAAGAGAGCGCGCAAATTGTTTCGCTTTACCGGCACAAAGTGAAACAGCGTGAAATTACTAGCATTATGAACTGACCTTTGTCTACTATAGAATTTGCCAGGCATTCCGTGTTGATTGACTACGTGATGGCAAACCGTGCTACAATACTCGCTTGCAGCTGCAGTAGTTTATCCGCCGTATTTTTTTGAAAATTTTGCTCCTTTCAAATACCCTACCATGAACACAAGCAGAAATATTGCACTATAGAGGGATCGTGCAGTGATGCCACAGCGGATGTGCTGGCCGGATGCGTCAATAACTGGTGGACGGCGCGCACTATGCCAATAATAAGAATTGTGCACGCGCTCCGCTGTTCACGTTTCATTTTATGCCGATAGTACCACACGAAGACACACCCGGCCCACGTCTTGAAGGCACCGCAGGGCGAGGAGGTAGACTCCGGAGAGGGAAAGTTGAGCTCCTCCGAGGAGATGGCCGCTAACCCGAACGTCAGCAGCGGTCCATGCTGCTTTCAGCTTCAGGCCGTCCAAACGTTTGATCCCGGTGAACGGCTTCGTCGCTGCGTTCCCACACTTTCGGGCTGTTGGTGCGTTGAGATGAGCTCGCATAGATGACAAAAGCCGAATCAAGAGGTGGACTTAATTAGACCCGCCACAGTGGCGCCGTTACCCCGCTGTTCGAGCCCGTTCAACAAAAGGCTTGTTTCGCGAAACTTTCGTTGAGACCTGACTGCTTCCTGGAACGTCTATCGGACAGCGTCTTGCATACTGGATGCTGATGGAGTTGAATGCCTTCCTAGTAGACCGGCTTACGCGCAATGGCGTCTGCCCAGATTAATTGTCAGGCCAAACGTACCAGTACATATATACGTGGAAGGATGCGCTAGTCTCCTCTTTCTGCGGAAGGAACATCGCCTTTCCGGCCGCGGTCGTCTGGGCCCGCGCTTATCTCGTGAACGAACAAGGGAAGGGGGGGGGGGTGCGCTTATGGTTGACGCTGCCGCGCAATAGCAGCAACGATTAGCGCACGCCTTGTGGCCCCACAGCAGGTGGGAGCTTCTACTGGATGCACTCTCTACTAAAACAAAAACAAAGCCAAGAGTGTACCGAAGCGGCCGTGTTCTCTTAAAGCAGCGTTTTGTAGAGTTACGTGAGATTGGATCTGGATGAGTTGACTGCCAGCCTCTGTTCGTATACCATTGAGATTTGTTGCTATCACATTCATTGCTTCACCTTTTAGGCGAAACTGATTTTGTGCAATCATCCCTGCTACAGTCGCGAACGTCGTGCAGGTTCTGTACCGGTAGGCATGGGTTATTCGCGTTCATCTGTAGCTGTGATTACGTTTCGTGCGTCATTTGTACGTGAGCATCGTGGAACACATGTCGGTCTGCTTGCCTTTCTTCGCATGACCTTCCAGTTGCTATCGCGTTCATATGTTGTCGTTGAATATGGTGCCGGGCAGTGGAAACCTGATATATGACCTGCTTACAGCAATTCTTGCGTGCTGCATGATTGGTTATCACGACTAGTTTTGGCTGTTGAGTGGGCCAGCCCAAAGGCAGTTTAACGCGAAATTTTCGGAAAGAAAAAAAGAAAACAAAAAGTTCAACCTACTGAGGGCCCACTTATAACCCAGTATTGAACACGTTCCTGACGAAAAAAGAGTAACTGTATACGTTACTCGTTACTCAATCAAAAAAGGAACGCGTGACCGTCCTTTGTTACTTGCAAAAAAAAAGATGACCCGTTACCGTCACCGTTACTAATAAAAAAATAACGGACGTTACTTCTGTCGTTGCTCCGACATCATAAGCTTTAATGAATGTGTTTTTGTAGCAGGACTTCACCCTAATGACACCTTTTGGCTGCCGGCACCGGTGGCGTTTTCTGTGCACTCGTGCCGTGCTGTACGTTCGTTTGGTCATTACGCATGCGGTGCCGCATGTTCGGCTGGGCCGGCCATGCCACTAGTGCACGCCACGGTGGCACCGTGGAGGTCGACGGTGGAGCTTGGTGCAATACCATAGGCCCGCGCGCGCTGGCAGACGACGTGGTGACGTTCCATCATTGCAGGCGCAAATTACAGCTGGTGCTGCCGCAGAACATGGCTGGACGGCACGGGAAACGTGCGTGAGCTTACATTGTCCGACCGTACTCGTACAAGGCTACTTTTGCTGCCAGGATTTCACTGGACACCGAAGGCGATGCGAAAGTTACCGTAACCCTCGTCAAGATGGTAGGGAATCGATGCAGCACAACTGCCTGGAGAACAGATGTGCACCCACTGGACACGTAGCGTCTCGCAAGTGACTCTCATTGTTTGACTTTCTGTTGTTTGCTATCTTATTACCAGTACAAACAGAACGCTGGAAATTGTCGTCTGCTAAATAAAGTCTCTCGCATACAGCGCTGCTGTAGCGGATTCCAGTTTTGTGGTTCCCACGTTCGGCTAGTCTGTAGCAAGGCGTGAAACTCGGGTGGTGTTTGACGCAACTTCCTTTCCACAGTCGCGGTACCAGTGCACCTCAGCCGAATATGCCATAAGATTTTTTTAGATCTCTGACTTATGCCATGAACAGTTAACTTACGAGGTTGTCAAGCTTCTTCACCAAGTCACAGAAATAGGCCACGAGGTCAAGTTTCAGTGGCTTCCTGGTCATTGTGGGATCCGTGGCAAAGACTCCGCAGACAACGCAGCATGCACATCGCACAAAGGAGAGCACATCCTTCCTATTTCTTTGTCAAGGACTGACGCTACAAAGCAACTTCGTCACCTGGCACGTAGTCTGTGTCTGCTGGAGTGGAACACCCCAAGCATAAGACATGCGAGACTCTACTAAATAAACCCTCGACTCAAACTTCGACCTCCATCCGGATTTCGTCGACGTGAAGCTTCGCTTCTTTGTCGCCTTTAGTTGGGGGTTGCCTTCACAAAAGCATATACAACCCTCATCGAATTGACCGACAATGTGGAATGTGACGTCTGCTGCACCAAAGAAGACATTGACCA